TTGGAATTAGGGAAGAGACTAAAGAAGTTTTAAGTGGTTTTTTTTTTTTTTTTTTTTTTGTCGTTTTTTGTTTTTTATCAGTTTTGTACCTGTACGTGGTCAGGAAGCCAAATAATTCTACAAATTCCCAGGGGCATTTACTTATTTTTGAATGATTCTTTTGGTGTTTACCTCCATATCTCTAGATAACAGTATTATATTACTACCTCTTACATGTTGACATCCCACTTACAGAAGAGAGCATAGCTGTCTCCCACCAATATCGCACAAATACGCTTCCAGATCCCCCAACTTCCCTGTGTAATTTGCCATATCAGTATCTTTTAAGATATGTCTTTCAGATTAGTCTGATTCCTCAGAGGAGGTTTTCCCAATTAAACCTCTACTCTTATGAGTTGGAGACAGTATCTAGGGAACTGCATTTTTTGAAGTGGACTTTTAACCAATTAGCCTGGCAAGGAGACTTTTAAAAATAGTTGTAACATGTGGTTTGATTTTCTTTTTTTTTCTTTAGATGGATTCTTGCACTGTCGCCCAGGCTGGAGTGCAGTGGTGCGATCTCAGCGCACTGCATCCTGTACCTCCCAGGTTCAAGTGATTCACGTGCCTCAGCCTCCCGAGTAGCTGGGATTACAGGCGCCTGCCACCACCCCCGGCTACTTTTTTGTATTTTTAGTAGAGACTAAAATTTCACTATGTTGGCCAGACTGATCTTGAACTCCTGACCTTGTGATCTACCTGCCTCAGCTTCCCAAAGTGCTGTGATTACAGGCGTGAGACACTGCACTCAGCTGGTTTGACTTTTTTAAAACCATGTCTTGTAATACTTTCATAATAGCAATCTTATTTCTTAAAATATCAAATCCCTCTTGTGGAACTTGATTAATATTTATTTGAATATATGCTTATCACCATTTACATTTTTGTCTTTTCACTGTAGCTCTAATATGTTTTACAGCAGTTTCAGTTGCCTAAAAAACAAAAGCTTTGTTGTTGTTTGGTAAAGTTTTTTTAACTTTGTTGAAACACCTTATTTTATTTACTGCTTGGTAAATAAGGGTCGATTGGGTACATGTTCATATGCTGTGTTGACCTGTAAATGGTTTTATAATCTGTTTTTATAAACTCTTAGAAATAATCTTTTTTGTAAGTCTTAGAAATTCAAACTGGGGTACCCATAATATGAACCTCTTTTTAAAAAAGATTGTATTCATTATTTATAATCAATAATCCTTAAATTTTGTGAGATTTATGACTACATTGACTAGATAATATTGGGGTACATATGGCTGTTCTATGGTATGAAAAATACTGAGTAGGTACTCACCTGAAAAGTTTCTCAGGGACTTACTTATAAACTAGGGAATAATGTGCATTTGTGGAATGTTTCTGGAACAATGTAATATGTCAGCTTTTCTATGAACTTTGAGGATAAGCATGATTTGGATTCTTAGAATAGAAATGACAGGCTGATGATTAGGGAGAGAAAACATGTGTCTGTTCATGTCTAGCTTACACTCAGCAACAGGTAGAGGTGTGACTTTTAAAAGCCCTGAGCTAATTGTACTTTCCAGTCACCAAAAGTTTTATAGGAATATGTGATACTAGCATATGCAAAAACCCACATCCTGTTTTACTGCTCCATCAGGAAGACTTAGTTCACTTGTTAGGGCATTGCTCCAGTGGATCATCAAGATTGTAAGTGTTTAGGATACTGTTTTGGACTATGTTCAGAAATTCATTAGCTAATAGTCACAAATGTTTTTTACAATTTCTCATGGTTTACTTTGCAACTTCAGCTTACAAGGTACCTCTCAAGAACATGAATCCTTTTGATGCATCAAACCATGGATTAAAACATATAGATAGCCTAATTGAGTTGCACTGCTCATTTTTAATAAAATGGCTTTTATGTTAGAATTGGGTTAGAAATAAGTCTGTGTCGTAAAGATAAAATTTTCCAGAATAGTCTTGTGTAGGCAATCTCATTTAGTTCTATGTGTCTTACCAATGTTCAACAGAAAGATCTATGAGAATTACCTATATGTACTTTGATGGAAAAGCCAGGAAGGAAGGTGCTCTTTAGCATTTGAAGCTAGTATGAATTTAAAGCATGGAACTATTTGTTCTGGATTGCCTGGGTTTCAAAGGTTTTAGTTCAGCACTGCCCAGTAGGGCTTTCTGTAGTGAAAGAAATACTCATACAATGCTGTGTAACTTGTAGCTACAGTGGCTGATGGGAGTGAAGAACTGAATATTTAATTTTAGGTAATTTAAATTTAAATAATCATATGTAGAGAGTGAGTGCTTAGATAGTGCTGTGTCTAGTAGTATCAAGAAACTGAGGGGGCCGGGCGCGGTGGCTCAAGCCTGTAATCCCAGCACTTTGGGAGGCCGAGGCGGGCGGATCACAAGGTCAGGAGATCGAGACCACAGTGAAACCCCGTCTCTACTAAAAATACAAAAAATTAGCCGGGCGCGGTGGCGGGCGCCTGTAGTCCCAGCTACTCAGGAGGCTGAGGCAGGAGAATGGCGGGAACCCGGGAGGCGGAGCTTGCAGTGAGCCGAGATCGCGCCACTGCACTCCAGCCTGGGCAACAGCGTGAGACTCCGTCTCAAAAAAAAAAAAAAAAAAAAAAAAAGAAACTGAGGGAAAACAAAAGCAATAAAAAGCACTGCATTAAACTAAATAGGACTTCTGACCCAAATTAGTTTGCTTGGCACAGCTTATAGGCTCTTTACCCTTAATTTGCATCTTTTACTATAATGTCACAATGTCTAACGTCTTCATTTCTGAGCCTTACTAGCTTTTTTTACTAGAATAGTAAGTTCACAGCTTACACTAGAACTGACACTATTTTGATGTCTCTGGTTGATGCCTCCTATCTTCACCTCAACTTTCTTTTTTCGTCTAACTCCAGTACTTTCCACCAGTGAGAAAGGACTCTCATTTGCCCATTGCCCAGTACATTTTTTTTTCCATTTGAGAAACTCCTCTAAATTTTTCTAAACTCACAATTATTAAGGCATTTGTTCAATTTACCACCAAAAAAGCCCATACTTCTAAGGGTGTTTTCAAGTGACCCATTGGCACTGTTATACTCTATATCTAGAATCTTATTGGTATTTAAAAATTGCAACTTTACCTTAAAAGTACCAGACATGATTCTTTTTCAAAGAAGAGGTTTTGCAAAAATTTCTTCTTTTAATTCAAAATATTAAAACATTAATATTTAAAAATTTTTTTCTCCGAGTTTATAAACTTCTATTCTCATGTAGCGCAGTTCATCCAGTTTGTGTCTTCAAGCAGAGTAGACTTTTTCCCGCAAAGTCACCTGAATTTTGAGCCCTTTGATCTCACAGATGAAATCCCTGTTTCATCCGTGAAACCCTGTCTCTACAAAAAGTACGAATAATTAGCCAGGCATGGTGGCACACACCTGTAGTCCCAGCTGCTCGGGAGGCTGAGATAGGAGGATCGCTTGAGCCTGGGAGGCAGAGGGTACAGTGAGCCAAGATCACACCACTGCACTCCAGCCAGGGCAACAGAGTGTGACGAGCTATCGTCCTGCATAAGGCATGCCCAGGTAAGATAGAAAATGTTTTAAAACATTGTTACAACTAAGTACCCCCTTTCTAAGTTGTAGTTAGTGAGTGAGTTAGTGAGTTAGTGGACTTTTTTCTTTTCTTTTCTTTTCTTTTTTTTTTTAAAGACAGGGTCTCCCTATATTGCCCAGGCTGGTCTTGAACTCCTGGCCTCAAGAGATCCTCCTGCCTCGGCCTCCCAAAGTGCTCAGATTACAGGCATGAGCCACTGTGCCAGTCCCAGGAAACTCTGATACTGTGGTTTGGATGCTTCATCTTCTTTCAAGGTGAATATTCAGCTTCTCTGTATGTACTAAACTCTGTAATGTGTATGACTTTCTAAAAACCATAACACTCAGGGATTCACATGTAGCTATACTTTGAATACTACTGCAGATTACATAGAATGATATTGCACCCCCAGATTTACCCATAAATGGAGTAATTCATCTTGAATTTTAGACTGTAGTTCTTAACAGGAAATCTAATATATCAAAATTTAAATGGTTTATCATATACAGTGTACTGAGCATAGCTGTCAACATATCACATGAAATGAAGAAAGATATAAGCATTCCTTTAGATGTTTTCTCTAAACCTGCTTTTAAAGACTTTTAGTACTAGTTCAGTACAACAAAAATCTTAAACCTTATAATAATTAGTTCTTTGTAGATGGTAGTAATATGAGTTGGTCTGCATTACCAAGAAACTATTACAAGGAGATCAAAGGGAGATTTTTTTCCCCAGTAAATTGTTATTACATCAAAAATCGACAGGAGTCATGTCAGTAATTTCTTACATTAGAAGAGAGGAAGGAGATACAGTAGGTCATTCTATTTAGGGACTTTTTTTTTTAACATTTGTCTTCCTGTTTTGCTGAGAAAGAATCAGTTATTCATCTTTTTTCTTTGTCATTGAGGAGGAAAACGTTACCAGAAGAAGCAGATTCTTAAATTATTATTTCATACAATTTTAGGAAATTGCTTTTGCTGTAAGTCAAGAAACTGTTGAATACCCTGCCAAAAGGAAAACCTTAAATTTCACAATGGGCCATCTGTTTAACATTGAGGTGACCCTGTTTTTTTTTTTTTTTTTTTTTTTTTTTTTAAACAGAGTCTTGTCACCCAGGCTGGAGTGCAGTGGTGCAATCTCGGCTCACTGCAACCTCTGCTTCCTGGGTTCACGCCATTCTCCTGCCTCAGCCTCCCGAGTAGCTGGGATGACAGGTGCATGCCACCACGCCCAGCTAATTTTTGTATTAATTATTATTATTTTTTTTAATAGAGATGGGATTTCACGGTGTTGGCCAGGCTGGTCTTGAACTCCTGACCTCAATTGATCCTCCTGCCTTGGCCTCCCAAAGTGCTGGGATTACAGGCGTGAGCCACCGTTCCCCTCCTGACCTTTCATTTTGTGTATTTGTTTCAAGAGGGGCAAGAGTCCCTCCTCCCTAGAGTAGGGTCCTTTTCTGTGTTTCATAACACATTGAATGATTTGAGTAACTTGGAAGGCTTTTTCCACCTGCCCCCACTTAGGTTCACAGATTTTTATTTGACTGCTTCTCTTTCACCCCTATATGAAAAAGCTTCCTTTTTGCCCCCATGATAAACCTAAGTAATAGTAACAAAACATTTTTGCATTCTTTCTTGACATGTAAATTTAGTGAATTTCTTTCTTTTGTAGGAGCTTCTTGGGTGTAGAGAGTTGAATCCGTCTTAATAATTTACTAACTCATTCATTTAAAAAATATTAGAAACCCTACTATATGTCAAGTATTCTGCTTGATACTAGATGTCCAGTTGTAAGCAAGCAGATATGATTGTTGCCCTCTGGAATTTCTAATCTAGTTCATGGCACATTATCACCATCACTCTATCAGCATAGGCCCTGCTCTTGTTTTACTTAATTTCTATTTTTTTTCCTCCAACCCCATCCCCTTCTGTAAGCATATACTCTGACATACATACCCTTAGAAATGTATTTGTCTGTTTTGTTTATGTCTGTTTTGCATGTATGTTAATGGTATTATAGATCTGTTTGTACCTTACCTTTCTCACCCAATACCGTTATATTTAATCCCTAGTCACCAGTCATTGCTTCTGACTGTGTTAATTTTCCATTATCTGCATCCAACACATGCTTACTCATTTCCTCAGGTATGGAACCTATATTGCATCTCAGGCCCTGACATAATAATACCTCAGATACACCTTAAGGACCTGTGTAAGTATTTCTTTGTAGCACTTACCCAAGAGAGAGATTCTGGGTCATTGGTAAACACAATGGCTTACCAGGCAGTTTACAGAGATTCCCATTTTCCCTATTCTCACCAGCACTTGATAATACTCAGCTTTCTAATTTTTTCTTTTAGTTTTGATATATTATTTCTTGATTTCTCTGATAGTTGGTGAGGTTGAGCCTTTTTTCGTATACTTGTTAGCCATGTGAATTGCCTGTTCCTATCTTTTGCCCATTGTTCTTGAGTTACCCAATTTTTTCTTGTTTTTGCTGAAGTTCCCTACATTTTAAATATTCTGACAGTTTGGGATGATCAAATCATCCAAAAAAGGACATTTTTCTTTTTTCCTTCTGTTTTTTTTTTTGTTTTTTTTTTTTGAGACGGAGTCTTGCTCTGTCGCCCAAACTGGAGTGCAATGGCACAGTCTCGGCTCACTGCAACCTCTGCCTCCCAGGCTCAAGTGATTCTCCTGCGTCAGCCTCCGGAGTAGCTGGAATTATAAGCACACGCCACCACACCCAGCTAATTTCTGTATTTTTAGTAGAGATGGGGTTTCACCACGTTGGCCAGGCTGGTCTTGAACTCCTGACCTCATGTAATTTACCTGCCTTGGCCTCCCAAAGGGCTAGGATTACAGGCGTGAGCCACCATGCCTGCCCTGACATGTTTCATTTAAGAGAAATCCTTTGTTTGAATGAAGTTAAATCTACCAATGTTTGTCTTTTGTGGATTGTGTAAAAATTAGTTTTGCTCTTTAGGTCTGTAGTCTGCCTGGAATTTGCTTTCTGTATTCCATGATGTAGGGATCCAACCACTTTACCCCATGTGGTAAGTTTTCCCAGCACAATCTACTAAAGAATCCATCCTTTCCTACTGCTTTGAGAAACCAACTGTGTCAGTCCCTAGTCCCATTCACATAGGGGTTCATTCATAAGCTATGTTACTAGGTCTATTTGTTTCTGTACCAGCACCACTCTATCTTTATTACTATGACTTTGTGCATTGTGTCTTAATATCTGGGATGGAAAATTCCCAGCTACCCCACAAATAAATATATATATATATATGTGTGTGTGTGTGTGTGTGTGTCTATATGTACACCTTTGCTCTTTATAGACATTTTCTGGTAACTTCTTTATTAATATATAATTGACATACCATAACACTCAAATATTTAAGGTATAAGTCAATGTTTTTTGTTTGTTTGTTTGTTTGTTTGTTTTGAGACAGAGTCTCGCCCTGTCACCCAGACTGGAGTGCAATGGCACAGTCTCAGCTCATGGCAACCTCTGCCTCCCAGGTTCAAACGATTCTCCTGCCTCAGCCTCTGAGTAGCTTGGATTATAGGCATGCACCACCACGCCTGGCTAATTTTTGCATTTTTAATAGAGATGGGGTTTCACCATGTTGGTCATGCTGATCCTGACCTCGTGATCTGCCCACATCAGCCTCCCAAAGTGCTGGGATTACTGGTGTAAACCACCACGCCTGACAATGTTTTTAATATATATATCCACAGAATTGTGCAACAGTCACCCAAATCAATTTCAGAACATTTTCATTACCCCAGAAAGAAACCTGTTACCCTTTAGCTATTGTTCTCCATCCCTCCTGTTCTCCTTATCCCCAGGCAACCACTAATCTACCCTCTGTCTCCATAGGTTTGCCTATTAGGGACATTTTGTATAAATGGAACCATACGATAAATGGTCTTTTGTGGGCCAGGCATGGTGGCTGCCTGTAATCCCTACATGTTGGGAGGCTGAGGAGGAGGATGCTCAAGGTCAGGAGTTAGAGATCAGCCTGGACAACCTACTAAGAACCATCTCTACAAAAATTTTAAAAATTACCCGTGTGTGGTGATGCATGCCTGTAGTCCTAGCTACTTGCAAGGCGAAGGTGGGAGGATCACTTAAGGGCAGGAGTTTGGGAGATTACAGTGAGCTTTAGTCACACTAGTGCACACCAGCCTGGGTGACAAAAGGAGAGCCTGTTTTCTTAGAAAAGAAAAGAAAAGGGGGGAAAAAAGCTCTTTTATGGCTGGCCCCTTTCATGTAGCAGAGTGTTTTGAAAGTTCATATTGTAGCATGCATCAGTATTTTGTTTTTATTGCCAAATAGTATTCCATTTTTATGGGTATATATACTACATTTTGTTTTGTTTTTGTTTTCTTTTTTTTGAAATGGAATCTCAACTCTTTTGCCCAGGCTGGAGTGCAGTGGCTCGATCTCAGCTCACTGCAACCTCCACCTCCTGAGTTCAAGCAATTCTCCCATCTCAGCCTCCCAAGTAGCTGTGATTGTAGGCATGCACCACCACACCAGCTAATTTTTGTATTTTTAATAGAGACAGGGTTTCACCACGTTGGCCAGGCTAGTCTGGAACTCCTGAACTCAGGTGATTCGCCCACGTTGGCCTCCCAAAGTACTGGAATTACAGATGTGAGCCTCTGTGCCTGGCCTACATTTTGTTTATCCATTCATCAGTTGGTGAACATTTGGATTGCTTACATTTTTCAGCTATTGTGAATAGTGCTGCACATGCACTTACAAGTTTTTGTGTCGACATGGGTTTTCCTTTCTCTTGAGAGTAGAATTGCTTTGTCAATTGGCAACTCTGTTTAAGTTTTTGAGGAAGTATCAGACTGTTTTCTAATGTGACTGTACCATTTTTCTTCCCATCAGCAGTGTATGAGGGTTCCAATTTCTCCACCTGCTAGATAACCTTTATTATTATGTCTTTTTGATTATAACTATCTTAATGGAGATGAAGCTGTATCTCTTTGTGGTTTTGATTTCCATTTCCTTAATAACTGATGATGTTAAGCATCTTTTCACATGCCCATTGGCGATTTGTATATCTTTTGGAGAAATGTCTGTAAATACCTTTGCCTATTTATTAATTGGGTTATCCTTTTATTTATTTATTTATTTTTTTGAGACGGAGTCTTGCTCCGTTCCTCAGGAGTACAGTGGCGTGATCTCAGCTCACTACAACCTCTGCCTCCCGTGTTCGAGTGATTCTTCTGCCTCAGCCTCCCAAGTAGCTGGGAATACAGGCACATGCCACCATGCCCGGCTAATTTTTTGTATTTTTAGTAGAGGCAGGGTTTCACCATGTTAGCAGGGATCTCCTAACCTCGTGATCTGCCCACCTCAACTTTCCAAAGTGCTGGGATTACAGGCTTGAGCCACTGCACCCGGCTGTCCTTTTATTGTTGAATTGTAAAGGTTATTTGTATTTTCTTACATTCAGTAGGTTGTCTTTCATTATCCTTGTGTCTTTTGAAACATGAAAGTTTTTAATTTTGGAGTCTGATTTATCTATTTTTTTTTTCTTTGTTACTTGTGCTTTCAGTATCTTTTCTAAGGAAACATTTTATAACCCAAGGTCACAAAGATTTATGCCTATATTTTCTTCTGAGAACTTCATAGTTAGATCTTACATTTAGTCTTTGACTCATTTTGAGTTGGTTTTTGTATTTGGTGTGAAGTAAGAGTAAAATTTAATTCTTTTGCATGTGGATATTAAGTTGCCCTAGCACCATTTGTTGAAAACACTTCTTTCACCGTTGAATTGTTTTGGCCCTCTTGTCAAAAATCAGCTGACCATAAATGTCAGGTTTATTTCTGGATTCTCAGTTCTATTCCTTAGATATATTTGTCTGCCCTTATGCCAATACCATTCTCTCTTGATTACTGTTGCTTTTTATTATAAGTTTTGAAATTGGAAAGTGTGAATCCTCCAACTTAGTTTTTCTTTTCAAGATTGATTTGGCTATTGTGGGTTCCTTGAGGTCCCGTATGAATTCTCTGCATTTTGTTTTTCTTGATTATAAGTGGAGGAGTCTTTTTTCTTAATTATTATTATTTTCTGTAGACCTTTATGCTTTTATGTAAATTTTATAATCACTTTTGAGTTACTCAAATTTCTGCTGGAATTTTGATGGGAATTACCTTGAAATTTTCATTTTTGGAGAGTTGACATTCTCAATGCTATTAAGTCATTCTTTCCTTTTTTTAATGTTCTTATTTAAAATTTTTCTGCATAAAGGTTTTCTACATTCTATTTTATATTAATTCCTAGATAGTTGTTTTGGTTGTGGGTGCGATCTTATTTATTATTTTTTTAACTATAGTTTTAGTTGTTTAATGCTAGCTAACATTGAACTGTACCAACTTTCCCTAAGTTCATGCATTTGCCAAAATTGCTGAGAATTCTCATTTGTTTTAATACTTTCCAGATTCTTTTGGTTTTCTATCAAGGTGATTACATCATCTACCAAACATATTGTTTTGTCCCTGTATATCTGTTAAGAAAACCATGTGATTTTTTTTCTTTTGTTCATTAATGTGAATTACTTTGGTTTAACATTGGAAGATTTATCATTCTTGTCTTTGTTTGATTTTGTATTTTGTATTTATATATACTTTACATGTTTCTTTTTTTTAAAGTTTTTAAGGTTTTTTTCATGCATGTTCAAAGTGAAATGGACTTACAGTTTTATTTACAGTTCTAAGTTTTGGGGTAAAGTTATAATATCTTCAGAAAGCAATTGTTGAGCAGCATTCATTTTCTGGAATAACTTCACTTAAAGTATTTTAAATGAAGGTGGTCTTTAATTTCCATTTGAAGTTCTCATGGTTATTTGCATATCCTAGCCTTTGTGCCAATTTTGTACTTTTATATTAAGAAATGCATGAATTTTGTCTAGGTTATTTATTGACACATGATATTCTTTCATTTCTAGAAACTATGTCTGTAGCTCAAAGTCCTTTTTCCTTTAGTACATTATTTTGTTTATTTTGCTTATCTCTTTCTTGTGATCAGTCTTGTCTGAGTACCCTTTCTACAAAACAATAGTTATGAGTTTGGGTTACATAGTCATTCTGTCACATATCAGTTCCATTGATCATATTTGTGACATTAGGCAACTTATATAACTCTTCTGTGCCTCTGTTTTCTCTGTTTCAAAATGGGTGTAGTAATAGTCCCTACAGCAGAGGATTGTTGAAAGGATTAATGTGTGACAAGTGTTTAGAATAGTGCCTGACACTTTGTAAGTGTTCAGTTAATACTATCTGCTATTAGTAGTAGTGGAAGCCTTTTCTTAAAATCAGCTGTTGGTTTTCCATTGCTTTTTGTTCTTTGTTGTGTTGATATCTGTTTTTAATTTTCTTTTTCTTGTTTCTTTGTGCTTACTCTCTCCTTAAGTCGAACACTAATATTTAAAGCTAGATTTTTGTAATGGATAATTATAACTCCTTTAGATGTGCCCTGCACTATCACTTTTCTGATGATTATGTCTGACTTATTAAGAGTCATGCTTATATTCATGCTTTTCTTCTGTGTCTTAAGCTTATCAGTATCAGTAGCATTCTCAACAAGTCAGGTACCCCAGCACATTTTTACCTCTTAAATAGTACCTCTTTTGTCAATCCTCTTCATATGCATATTCACCAAAGTTTTTATTCTAGATTTTTAGGGATATACTTTGTTGTCTTCACCTTCCTTGCTATCATTGCTCACTTGTACAAAAAACATTGTATTAACTATTCTCCTTTATTTCTCGTATCTCAGATATCTCATAGAATTCCCTTGGGGTTTGGGGGTTTTTTGTTTCTTGTTATTGTTGAGACAGGCTCTCACTCTGTAGCTCAGGCTGGAGTGTAGTGGCTTAATCACAGCTCACTGCAGCCTCGACCTCCCAGACTCAAAGCAGTCCTCCCACTCCAGCCACCCCAGTAGCTGAGACTACAGGCACACACTACCATGCCCGGCTAATTTTTGTATTTTTTATAGAGATGGAGTTTTGCCATGTTGCTCAGGCTGGTTTTGAACCCTGGGCTCAAGCAATTCTTCTATCTCGGCCTCCCAAAGTGTTGGGATTATAGGTGTGAGCCACCGTGCCTGGCCTTCCCTTGGATTTATCTCCTTTCCTCCTTGCTGGGGTTTTTCAAAGAGAGACTTGATTTGGTTAAATCTTACAAGTTTTTGTGGGCCTGCAGCTCTCTCTCTCTCTCTTTTTTTTTTTTTTTGATAGAAACAATGTTTTCCTATGTTGCTTAAGTGGTCCTCCCACCTTGGCCTCCCAAAGTGCTGGGATTACAGGAGTGAGCCACCACACCCAGCCCAGATACCTTTATCCTCATATTAAAACTGTATTTTTGTTCTGTGTACAATACTAGGTTAAAAGTTTGATTTCTTCTCTAGCTTAAAATTATCTCTTCATTGTCTTTTGGCTTCCAGTGTTGATATTTGAAAGTCATATGTTCATCTGATCTTGTTCATTTGTAAGTAGTTTGTTGTTTTTTGGTACACTTTGAGGTGTTTCAGTCTGTTTTTCCCCCTTTAATTCTGAGAAATTCTTGGATAGTCTTATCTTTATTTTCTCCTTTATTTTTTTCCTGGAACTTCTATAGTACAGTTAGTGATATTTCTACTTCTTATTATCTATTAAATTTTCTTGTTTTCTATCTCTTAATTCCCACACACAAAAAATTCCATATTTGTAAATTACTCAGCCTGATCTTTTAGCTCACTGATGTGCTTTTCAGCTGTTACTGCTCAGGCAATCCACTGTGCCTGGCCCTACATGAGTTTTATAAGAACAAGTTGGACTTGAAATTATCTACGTTTAACAAGCTATTTCAGTTTTACATATATATAATTTATATGTAAATATATAAAATATATAATATATAATATATTATAAATAATTATATATTATATATAAAATATATTTTTTTTACAGAATAAAATATTTTTCTTCAGTAACTTGCTCACACTATACTAAAATGTAGATTTGTTTGTTTTGTTTATACTTTTTGTGAAAATTTTCAGACTTACATTATTCAATTAAATTTTGAGAGTAGGTCTGTGTCGCTGCCCTATACCAGGCCTGTTTTGGAAAGTGATAATTTGCAAGCTGTTGTCATTAAATAAGCCCCAGTTATCTGACTTTTGGGCAGTGGAAGAGGGAATCATTCTGTCAGCATTAAGGAAGTGAAGCTGTCATTAAACTAGACCCTGGCACTGCAGTTTTTCTCCTTTCTGCTTCTTTCCTTTGGTGTTCATCCCCAGAAGCTTCTTCACAGCCTTATATGTGTTCAACCAGCCAGGTTTATTTCAAAAGTTGTTTATTATAGTTTATAAAAGCTTTTCTGCTAGGTGCGGTGGCTCACGCCTGTAATTCCAACAGTTTGGGCGGCCAAGGCAGGCAGATTATTTGAGGTCAGGAGTTCGAGACCAGCCTGGCCAGCATCATGAAACTCCATCTCTACTAAAAATACAAAAATTAGCTGGGCATGATGGTGTGTGCCTGTAATCCCAGCTACTGGGGAGGCTGAGGCAGGAGAATCGCTTGAACGTGGGAGGCAGAGGTTGCAGTGAGCCAAGATCGCGCCACTGCACTCCTGCCTAGGCGATAGAGTGAGACTTCGTCTCAAAAAACAATCAAAAAACAACAACAAAAGTTTTTCTGGCTAAGAGATAAATTATAAGATTATAGTCTAGATATGTACCATTTACTTACTAAGCTTTTAAAAAGGCTATTGTGGCTCAGCAGTCAATGGTATATGAGGTCATTGGGGTTGAGAAATAACCATAGACTGATACTAAACAAATAGCATTGATATTATACCTTGTACCTCATCATCTTTCTGCAGGTCATTTCCTCCTCTGTAACAGACCCTTTGAGTCCCTTCACTTCCATCTTCTTCAACAGGCACTTTATCCTCCTGACCAGGATAGTAAATTTGTAGCCAAAGTCTATAGTAAACGTCACTAATTTATCACATATCATTGGGCGGCTAAGCCCTGCATATGCCTTAGAATCATTCTCAGCACAACACTTCAGGAAGCCCTCAATTAAAGGTGACAGATGACACCTCATTGTTATTTCTGTCCTATTTCTTATTCCAACCAGAGTAAGCCATTAACTTATTCAGGCAGTATTTTGAAGGCTAAAAAGGAATAAAGGTAGAAAGCAATTAAAGCATTTCCTAATATCCAAGATGTTTTTCTGCCCTTCCCTCACCTTTTATTATTCCCTTGCCTTTTATGTTATTATACCTACCCTTGTTTCTCTCTTCCTGTGCTTTTTTCTGCTGCTGCTTATAAACACATTTATGTTGAACTTTATAGGATATATTCGATTTTTAGTGAGTGAAAAGGGCATTTTTTCCCCCAGATATTCTCAACCATTTAGTCACTCTCTTGAGTTGTTTTCATCCCATTTTTGGTATAATAATGTACTTTTTTTTTTTCCTATTCTTATATTTAGATTTTTTTTTTTTTTTTTTTTGGAGAAAATTGGATGCCACCAAACCTGTAAGGTGTTGATTTTAAATGCCTTTTCCCTGGAACTAAGCAATGGCCTAATTCTGCTAAAAAGAGACAGGAGTTTGAAAAAGGACAAGATGGAAGGAAATACTGATAGAACAAACAAGTATTAATTAATTTTTTGTCCGTCAGTTAAAGTGTGATGATATGCCCATCACTCATTGTATGATAGACCTTCACTACACCAACATTTGATATTCACAACCAAGTCCTTCAGTGTAGGTATTGGCCTTGTTTACTTATGAAGAAAATGAGAGTCAAAGAGATAGTTTGCCCAAGGACATACAGCTGGTAAACGGTAAGTGGTAGAGTTAGGATTTTACCCCAGCTTCCTAACTTTAAACTTTGTACTCTTTCTCTTCCAAACATTTAGAAAAGTTTACCTTTAGTAGATTTTACCTTTTTTCCACAATAAACTTTATATTATAGCCTTTTTAGTTTGGGCAGTAATTACATACATACATGCATGCATGCATACTTAACATACACTTTAATGTTCTATAGGTTATTTGGACCACTGGCACTGTGACCAAAGTGATAGTATTCTGAGCGTGTTCTGAATCTGTGAGGTCAGTATAGCCCAGTAACATAGTGTAGTGACAGCCTGGGGTCAAATCCTGGCTCCAACACTGCCTCATCTTGTGCAAGTTTCCTTTCTCATGCCAACTTACACAGTTGTTTTGAGAATTAAACAAAGTAATACACATAGAGCATTTGGCACAATGTCTAACAAATAGTTTCATAAATGCTATTATTATGTATTCACTTTATGCTAAATCCCTAGCTTCTCCATGAAGTTCTGAGAAGTTTTGCTGAGTTACATAGAAACTACAGACTACACTAAAGATATGTCATACCTTCAGTGTTATTTGTAAAGAAATGGCAAATATTACCTTTATCATTTTTGACATTTTTGTTAAATGAGATAATAATCACTGCTATTTGAAACCTGTCATATAGTGTTTGAGTCTGTCTGCTGGTCAGGAATATTTGCCTCACCCCAGGATTTAAAGTACTTCTAGAAAGAAGCCAAAGGCCAGGCGCGGTGGCTCACGCCTATAATCCCAGCACTTTGGGAGGCCGAGATGGGTGGATCACCTGAGGTCAGGAGTTCAAGACCAGCCTGACCAACATGGAGAAACCCCCATCTCTACTAAAAATACAAAATTAACCGGGTGTAGTGGTGCATGCCTGTAATCCCAGCTACTCCAGAGGCTGAGGCAGGAGATTCTCTTGAACCGGGAGGCGGAGGTTGTGGTGAGCTGAGATCGTGCCATTGCACTCCAGCCTGGGCAACAAGAGCGAAACTCCATCTCAAAAAAAGAAAAGAAAGAAGCCAAAAATCTGTTTGGAATCATACCTAAAATAGTAATAGTCATTAACCACCAACAAAATTTACCCATGTCTTTGTTTTAACTTTTTATTGTATGAGAATGTAGAATCTACATTCAGTTATTAAAATATTTACTATCTCCTTTTGTTTTTCAGAGCATGAATAATCTTTCATTTAGTGAACTATGTTGCCTCTTCTGCTGTCCACCTTGTCCAGGGAAAATTGCTTCAAAATTAGCATTTTTGCCACCTGATCCAACTTACACACTGATGTGTGATGAAAGCGGAAGCCGTTGGACTTTACATCTATCTGAACGAGCAGACTGGCAGTATTCTTCTAGAGAAAAAGATGCTATTGAGTGTTTCATGACTAGAACCAGTAAAGGCAACAGAATTGCCTGTATGTTTGTACGTTGCTCACCCAATGCGAAATACACTTTACTCTTCTCACATGGAAATGCTGTTGATCTTGGTCAAATGAGCAGCTTTTACATAGGACTAGGATCACGGATTAATTGTAATATATTCTCATATGATTATTCTGGATATGGTGCAAGTTCCGGGAAACCCACAGAGAAGAACCTCTATGCAGACATTGAAGCTGCTTGGCTTGCTCTTAGGACAAGGTAAATTGTAGTTGGAAATTATTTTTCATACTCGTGGTGGTTAGCTAAAAATACCATGTGTAAGAATAGAGTAAAAGCTGTTTTTATTATACATAACTGCTATATAGAGGTTATGTTTACTTTTATGTTCCTGTAATAATTAATATTTTAGACAGCAATTTTAAATTTCACATAATAGCAAAGCAGAGTTTTTAAAGACAGTTTCAGGTTTGTCTACATTAATACATGTATATATGTATGATTTTTTTTTTTTTTTTTCACTTAAATCCTTAGCTGGATGTCCATGGTGCATGCCTGTAGTCGTTTTTACTTAAGAGGCTAAGGCAGGGGAATCACTTGAGGCCAGGAGTTTGAGGCTGCAGTGAGCTATGATCGTGCCACTGCACTCCAGCCTCAGTGACAGAGTGAGACCTCGTCTCTTAAAAAGTTAAAAAAATAAATAAATCCAGTGACAAATGTTTCGTTTTGTAAGCTTTCTTATTGGAGTGTGATATAAAAAAATGTTTATTCAAAGCTGCAGCCTTTCAAGGCAATGAGAGAAAATACTGACTTAGCTAATTATTCACTTGATCTATCATCAACAGTATGAGGCTGGATTGCTTTCTATTAAAATCCTAAGCCAAGATTTGCATTATTTTATGTGATTACTTCTTGAGAGGTACAACTTAAAGATACCTTATTGGAACTATCTTTCAAGTATTCATTCTATAAAAATGAGATTTTACTTTATATTCTTCATTGCTAAAATTGAGAGAGATGGTATCAAGTTTAAAAAAATTTTTTAGGCTGGGTGCGGTGGCTCACGCCTGTTGTCCCAGCACTTTGGGAAGCCAAGGCAGGCAAATCACAAGGTCAGGAATTTGAGACCAGCCTGGCCAACATGGTGAAACCCCATCTCTACTAAAAATACAAAAATGTCTGGGCGCAGTGGCTCATGCCTGTAATCCCAGCACTTTGGAAGGCCTAGGCAGGTGGATCACAAGGTCAGGAGTTCAAGACTAGCCTGGCCAAGATGGTGAAACCCCGTCTCTACTAAAAATACAAAAATTAGCTGGGTGCAGTGGCATGTGCCTGTAATCCCAGCTATTTGGGAAGCTGAGGCAGGAGAATCGCTTGAACCCGGGAGGCGGAGGTTGCAGTGAGCCGAGATCACACCACTGCACTCCAGCCCAGGTGACAGAGTGAGACTCTGTTTCAAAAAAAAAAAAAAAAAATTAATGTTATGATAAATTGTTTAATAAAATTTTCTTACTGTTCAGTTATTCTTTGATTATATAGCAGCATACATTTTTGGGGAACTAGAAACTGCATTAATCTTTTCTAGTCGCCAAGATACCTAAACGTTTTTCTTGAAAAATCACAATTTGGTAGACTTCAGTGTATTATTAGTCAGGTTAGTGTACAATAAACAGATAACCTTAATATAGGCTGTTCTTTATATTATATGAAAATAAAACATCTGACTTCCAGAATGTTTTTGACTGAACCTATAGGATATAAAGAAAACTTACTCTTTCTAATTTAATGTTTAAATATTAAAGATTTGATTTAGTCAGGAAGAATTTCCTCAATTTTAATAATAATGAAGTAGTTAATAATATTAAAGATATATAAAAAATCTTTAAAATTATTTTTCCCTCCAAAGAAATGTAGTAAAGTTATGCTCTCATAGCAAAGTTCTACATAAAAGGGATTCTTAAAATCAATTGGAATTATATAAAAACATAAATATGGGGAATAAGGAAAAAAAGATGGCAAGTAGTAGGTAGAGTTGATGGGGGTTGGTAAAATTATTGTCTAATTGATAAATTTAAAAACTGCTTTAAATAAAAATCTTTTTAGGTATATTGATATGAGTTACATCAGGCCTTAAAACAAAACAAAACCTGAGTGCCCACTTTTTAGAGCCAGCCAGTTGAATAACATATAATAACTGTAAGAAAGTATTATAATTAAAACAAAATAACTTTATTGAGCGATAAAGTTCACACTTTTAAAGTTTAACTTCAGTGGAATAATGAAGTTTTAAAGGGTGCTAAGTTAAAACTGATAGCCTTCATTATTAGTGCTTCCCAGTAACAAAAAAGGGTCACTTTACTCAAACAAAACATGTTAGTATTGGGTTCAGTGTTCTGTGTCTTTGTGAAAAAAATCCCATTTTTTAAGTGGTCAACTTACTGGTTTTTTTTTTTTAATCTTGGCATTTATCAATTTGAAGAAAACTTTCAAAAATGATTTTCAGTCTTGATTAATTTTTTTAACATATTTGATAGCCAGTGTTAATGAGGAATGGGCAGATTTCACCGATAATCCCACATACTATTTTAGCACTTACATTTTAGAATTTTAGACTTCTGTTTTCTTTCATGTTGAACCCAAAATATAGTTGTAAGAGTTTCATAAGTATAGGTACTTTAGGAAATGTAACTTCTCTGAGCCTGTGTTTCCTCATCTGTTTAATGAAGAGATTGAATTAAATGATCCCCAAGATCTTTTCCAGTTCTGGAATTCTGTCATCTAATGAAATGTGTGTGATTAGAAGACATGCCTTTTATTTTATTTACCTGATTAAAAGTTAGGACTTAAGTAACCAGGAGAGAGAAAATAAATAATGAACTTAAATAAACTTAAACTTAAATTTGTTTAATGATGTCCTTTTTGGGAAAATTGGATATCCGTAATAACTCCAATTTCTGACCTTCTGATGGACCAAAAGAAACTCAGGGCCTGGCATTCACTGTGCACCTTTCCCACAAAGTCCTTGAGCTCCTCATCTGTGGGCTTCAGAGGTAAAAAACACTGAACCTGGTAGTCAGTATACCTGAGTTCTAATTATAGAGCTGTCACCTACTGGTGACTTTGAAGGTCTGCTCATTAGGCAGCTGGAGTCTATATTAAATGGTCTCTAAACTCCTTTCTAGCTCATACTGTTAGGCGGTTGTTACTCTTGTGAGTCCCCTAATGCTTAATTGTCAGCTACCTCTGCAACTCTATCCTCAAGCATTGTCATTGCTAGCTATAGCCCAGATTTCATGATTGCCACCAACAATGCTGATATTCAACTGACAGCAACAATGCAACCTCAAGAATTGTGGTTATGCTGCAAATGTTCATTCTCCTAATTTCTTCATTCATTTGAAATATGTGCAACTAGGTCTGTTGTAAAGAAAAAAGCTTTTCTGAGTTTGCTAATATTTAGAGTCAATTTGGAGTAGACAGAGCCCCACTTTCTGTGTCCTTTCCAAATGCTTGTGTAGTCCTGACTTGAAGAAACTATGTGGGGAGACCTGTGTTACTACCTGTATAGTTGAAATAGTATTATGCCCCTGGAAGAGAACACAGGGACAGTTTGCCTCCCTCTTTCCTGGTGAAGATTCAGATTCTCAGAAAGATATTTTACGTTTGCAAAAGATTTCCAAAAGAAGCTGTTGTGGTCTTAGCTGCCAGAGTGACTGCTGTGTGCCTTCTAAGTGGAAAGCTGTATTTAATGTCACTGTAACCTTGAACCCCACATTCATTAGCTCAGGTAGCACTGCACTTGGACTTGCAGTAGTTTACTTTTGGGATGATTATACTGTAGACAAGTAGCAAGCAGTTCCTTGAACATACTAGGTACCCAATAAATATTTATTGAGTCAATGAGTTTTCATCTATTTAAACCTGCAGCCATTTTAAAGGGATTAAAATAGTACCTTGAGATTTTAGCATAAAGTCTATTCATAAATAACTGGACCATGTGGTGTTTGGAATTCTTTTTTATCTTTTCAACCATTAGTCCATTTCTACAACTAAGGAAAGACAAACTTTAAGAAAAATCATAAAATCATAATTTGCCCTTGACTAAAACCATACATATAGTTTATTCATTTCATACCGTAACTATATGTAACAGTTCATCAATATGACCAGTTTTGGAAATTAAAATGAGCTGCTCCTGATGTGTGGAGAAATAAATAATTTTTCTTACATTGAACAGAAAATAAATATGACCTATTCATTCAACATCAGTTCATTAAAATATTAGTGATATGCCCCAAGCTCAGTCAACAGTATGCTAGGTTGAAATACTACAGTGTAATAAATTATTTAATAAATTTATTTCTTAAGATTGAAATTTTAAAATACCTCAGCAATTATTTTTCCAAAAGATGAAATAGAAACACATGAAATAAACTGATGATACAGACTTTATTGTAATGTTAAAAATAACAGTAATAGCCAAGAAATTTAAGTTTAAAAAATGGATTAGTTGACATTGTCTTATTCTAAGATCAAATCCTTTGGAATGATGGAACATTTCATACCACTCCAACTTTTTTGTTTTTAACGCCTGAACTTTGTAGATATGGCATTCGCCCTGAAAATGTGATTATATATGGCCAAAGTATAGGGACAGTACCGTCTGTGGATCTTGCTGCTCGATATGAGAGTGCTGCTGTTATTCTTCATTCTCCTCTGACCTCGGGAATGCGAGTTGCCTTTCCTGACACCAAGAAGACCTACTGTTTTGATGCATTCCCAAAGTAAGTAGCAGTATTCAAAATAGTTCAATTCCAAGAAACTTAGGAATTTTTTCATCATTTAAAGTATTCATGACATAGTTCACTCAACCATAAGTTTCTATTTTACATATATTAGCACATATACATTATGAAAAATTAATTTGTAAAGAGGGTATTAGCTGGTGACCAGTCAGAAGGCTGAAATGTTTGAGGAGTAGTAATCCAGATGAAAATTGCTGAGGGCCTTACACCTCAGGTGGTGGCACTAGTATTGGAGACAAGGGAATGAGTTTGAAAGAAAGATTTGACAGAACTGAGTGTCAGACTTGGACGTAGGATGCTAAAGAGAAAAACTTGAACATGACTACCATGTTTCTGCCCTGAGGTGCTAATGGATGGTGCCATCCAGTGAAACACTTGATGTTAGAGAAAAACAAGTAGAGGTTAAAATGAGAAAATATCTGATTAATGATATCTAATTTACAAAAGTGAATTGAAAAAAGTTGAATCTTAAATTAACTAGATTAGTAAGTATTGCTGCCACAAAACCCGCCAACATACTTAGATGTATTTGAAAGAAAAGTAGCTACTTTTCCTTCATGCTTTTCAAGACAGGAGGTAGTTCCCACCTACTCTTCATAGTTGGAAAAAATTAATGGACTATTTTTCTCAAAGAAGTAGAAGACAAGAAATAAGCTGGCAAATTTTAGTTTTCTTTCCTTTCTCCAATTGGCAACAATACAAAGGATTTTTTTGTGAATGGCCGATGGGCCTAAGGCAAAGTCATCACATGGTTCTTTATAAAGAATAGCAAAGATTATTTTAAAAACACATTATTTTCATCACTAGCCAGTAATGGATCACTTTAGTAGGGAAAGTATGTGAACACATGATCTTATCACAAGGGCAAACTGGGCGTGTTTGGGTTTTTATTTTGTTTTGGGTTTATTTTTGTTTCAGGTAATGTAGGTATAGGCATTACACTGCCTCTGTCTAGCTGAATGGTAAAAATGATAGGGATGTATCTGAGTATCCCTATATCAGTGTTGTTGCCAACTTATATCTCTGTCTAGCTCTCTCTTTCATTTCTGGTGCACCAACAGAGAGCAACACTAAAAATAAACTGTTTGACCAGGCACAGTGGCTCACGCCTGTAATCCCAGCACTTTCAGAGGCCGTGGTGGGTGGATCACTTGAGGCCAGGAGTTCGAGACCAGCCTGGCCAACATGGTGAAACCCTGTCTCCACTAAAATTACAAAAATTAGCCAGGCGTGGTGATGCACGCCTGTAATCCCAGCTACTCGGGAGGCTGAGGCATGAGAATCCCTTGAACCTGGGAGACAGAGATGGCAGTGAACCAAGATGGTGTCACTGCACTTCAACCTGGGTGACAGAGCAAGACCCTGTCTCAAAAAATAAAAATAAACTGTTTGAAAAAGATAATATATTTCTTTTTTTAATTCAAGTTTTAATTCCTCTACCTCTGAACCTCTTTCTGACAGCAGATAGTAAACCCAAGTATTTATTCTTACCAAATGCAGCCTTAGATTATTTCATTGATGGTTTTTTCCTTGTCAAAATTCCATTTTCATTTTATGTTATTTATAATATCTTTCTCTAAGGATTCTTAAAAAGAATTGTTTGTCTGTGTAGTTTCTGTCTCCTCCAAGTTGCCAAGTGTTTTTTTTTTAAAAAAGTGTTTGTTTTGATTCCTGTGTTATTTGAAGTGTTCTCCTCTCATGTCTGATAACTTTTGGTTGCCTGCTTATATGTAAGTAAAGGAACTGATCAACTTTTTACTCTTACATATAAGCCGGCAATCAAGATTTAGCAGATCAACTAAAGGGCTGCTCTGATATAATCTCCAAAGAAGGCTCTTTCTAAAAGTCCCTCCTTGAGGACAGTGGCCTGACTACCAGCATTCTGGGAGCCACATAGGGAAAATGGGTTCATAGTAGCCAGTATGTAAATGTGTATGTGTCCGTTGTCTCTATGATACCTCTGTTCTAAACTCTGGGAGTCTTTTAGTCCACAGACATTCCAGTCTTGGGGGCAGACAGTTTCCGGGTATATGAATAGGCAAAAGGAACTGGGAAGGGGAGGCTAACTTTCTTACACAGACTTTGAAAAAATCCTGTATATTTCAGTCACCCCCTTCATCACCATGGTAATTCCTTAACTTTCTGGGGTATTCTGTGGTATAAATTGGTTTCGTTCATCACTTTATGGTCTATCTGCCTAAAATTGTGTTTTCTTCTCTCCTTTTGATAAATTATTTCACACATTAATCTTTCCAGCTCCAACATTTTATTATATTTTAGTACATTCTCTTTGTTTTTGTATCTTTATCCTCAAACAAGAACAAAAACATAAAACATTTTGCTATCATTTTAGTAGGAGACTAGGAGAAAGAATATAGTGAGTGCAAAAAGTGAAATTAGCGCATACTTGAAATGGTTCTTAAGTTTTCTCCTCTTCTGGACACCTAAGTTTCTCTGTGCCAAAAGTCAACATTGTAGAAAGGTACAGTAGAGTGACGAGAGCATTGAGTGATTCCAGCAAAACCATCAAAACAAGTGCATGAAAATAACTTCCTCAGATAATCTTAAGGTAGGGAGTATGTAAAAGGCAATTTTTGAATCTTACTGGAAATTCAAGAGACGTTCTTACCTTCTGAACTGATTCGTACAATTCTCATATTTGAATTACCTGTCTGATACAGCACAAGAATATTTATGTTCCTTTACATAGTTAATTTATTGCATTTTTTCCCCTTCCTTTTTCCCTGCAGCATTGACAAAATCTCTAAGATAACCTCTCCAGTATTAATAATTCATGGGACTGAAGACGAAGTCATTGACTTTTCACATGGCCTCGCGTTGTTTGAACGTTGCCAAAGACCTGTGGAGCCTCTCTGGGTTGAAGGAGCAGGTCACAATGATGTGGAACTGTATGGACAGTATCTTGAAAGGTTGAAACAGTTTGTGTCACAGGAACTGGTAAATTTGTAAAATATTCTGTAAATTTGCTACTGGGTTTTCCTTTCTTGCTGAACTGCACTCTTTGGTAACTAACATAAAACCTGAAGGTTTTGTTTGCAAATCATGTCAGTTGCCTTCATAAATGTACAGGTAATGATTTGTTAACAGACTTAATGAAGGTTTTAATTACCAGAACTAAGAACTGGAAATAACAGTACCATGCAGTCAGGCTGTGTAATTTATATTTTTTCTGTGAATTTTTTTTTAACATCAAGATGAGTACTGTATGAGATTTTAATTCTATAAAATCAAATGCTGTAAAAGTATTGCCAAATGCTTTTGCATACTAGAAACAAATTTATAAATATTTTTAAAACATCTCAATGTACTAAATCTTATCCTGGAATACAACTGTAATATTCTTTTGAAGAAAGCTATGTATCTAAAGCAATTTAAGTACTCATAATAGAATGAACTGTAAAAGAGATTTAAAACCATGCAAGTTCACTAGAATTAACCTAAACCCTGTTGTACAGGGATAGAGGTTTAAAGATATTTTATTGTAAAATACATTGAATTTTCTCTATACTCTGATTACATACATTTATCCTTTAAAAAAGATGTAAATCTTAATTTTTATGCCATCTGTTAATTTACCAATGAGTTACCTTGTAAATGAGAAGTCATGATAGCACTGAATTTTAACTAGTTTTGACTTCTAAGTTTGGTACTGTGAGGCAACTACTTAAAATTTTCATGCTGGTTATTTAAAAGGCATTTAGAGATTTCAAGAATGATTTTGTATGCAATGTTTTAAATTTTGACTGATCTCATAGTCTCATAGAATTGCAGTAGTCTTCATTGTATGAAATCCTGAAAGTCCATGAGTTGATCTTAAAGACCACAAACAGAGTGGCTATCTGATCCCTTTTCACTGGCTTTTTTTTTTTTTTTTTTTCATTTTTTGAGACGGAGTCTTGCTCTGTCGCTGAGGCTGGAGTGCAGTGGTGCAATCTTGGCTCACTGCAACCTCTGCCTCCCAGGTTCAAGCGATTCTCCTGCCTCAGCCTCCCGAGTAGCTGGGATTACAGATGCCCGCCACCACGCCTGGCTAATTTTTGTATTTTTAGTAGAGTCAGGGTTTTGCCATGTTGATCAGGCTGGTCTCGAACTCCTGACCTCATGATCTGCCCTCCTCGGCCTCCCAAAGTGTTGGAATTACAGGCATGAGCCACCGCGCCTGGCCCACTTTGGCTATTTTTAAAAATAGGACCTGTTGTTTTGGATTACTATCTGAGAATTTCATGGATTCACTCCTGGGTATAGGAGATAAGAATACATTTAATTCATAACTTTTATATTAACCAATATAGTAAAACAATAAAGCTCACACATACAAAAACTAAGTTGCCTTTCCTTGAATGAACCCTGCCTGAATAAAACAATGAAAGAAAAATAAAAATAAAAATAAAAAATTAATGGTATGTAGTCTAATTTGTAAATGAATGAATATGGAAATAATACACACTGTGGATATATTTTAAGGCCTTATGTAATTTTAATTGTTCTGCTTGTTCCGTGGTTATGTCTAAGACTATAGTATACGATTCTCTTCAAAGTATATCAAGTATTGTGAATGCTTTGGTTCAGATGTGTCAAATTAACAGTAAAACAACAAATATACCACTGACCTGTGCTTATTTGCCTTTTTCCATGCTCCCCACGCTCACACTAGAAAGCGTGAAAAGAAAAAAATTACCCTTCGTTTTTATAGGACATAGTTTGAAAACTTTTAAAATTATATCATCACTTCTTTTGGAGAAGTCTTTCTTTCTCAAGATTGTCTTGTAACCTATACAGTTTCTTCTTTGTACAGCATACAACCCAGGGCTTAGCTAAATGTTTTCTTTGATTACCTAGGGAAATCTAAATATTGATTCTATTTATTCAGTGTTCGTTCATTCAACGATAGTTATTGAATGTATAAATCATGCAAAACCCTGTGCTAGGTAAAGACAGACTGTGTCCTCATAGATTTCATGGTATAGCTAAGGAGACAGGCACCTCATTGCCCAAATATTACTATTTTAATAAGGACTGAAGGAGATTTGTAAGGTATTGTAACAGGTAAAAGGTACTTTTGGGAGGGGAACATGGGGAGCAGGACAAGGAAGAGTCCCCCAGAGAAGTGGTATTTCAGCTAAGTTTTGACGGATAACTAAGAATTGGGTAGACCTGGGTGACCCAGGAGAAGCATTCCTGGCTGAGGGGGATGAATAATATATGGAAGCCTAGAGGAAGGAAGGTGCAGTTAAATATGAGGACTGGGCTGGGCTCGGTAGCTCACACCTGTAATCCCAGCACTTTGGGAGACTGAGGCAGGTGGATCACGAGGTCAGGAAATCGAGACCATTCTGGCTAACACGGTGAAACCCTGTCTCTACTAAAAACACAAAAAATTAGCTGGGCGTGGTGGCATGCGCCTGTAGTCCCAGCTACTCGGGAGGCTGAGGCAAGAGAATCACTTGAACCCTGGAGGTGGAGGTTGCAGTGAGCCGAGATCGCACCACCGCACTCCAGCCTGGGCAACAGAGCAAGACTCCGTCTCAAAAAAAAAAAAAAGTTTGGCCTAGGAATGAGGCTACTAATTAGGAACACAATTACAGATGGCATCGTGAACCCTACCTAGTCTTTATCTTAGAAACAAACAGGAAGCCATTGATAGAAAAGGAAACAGCACTTGTCAAGAGTATAGATGAAAAAATCTGGAGATTTTTGCTTGCTGGAAATAACATATAAGTCAGTTTTGTAGAAACTGATCTAATTTTAGAGTGGTGAAAAATACATCATGGGAAAATGATACACAAAGTGCTGTTCAAACCACGTTTGCATTACTAATGTTATTCCAGGATGCAGTGAAAGGATATTTGCAAATTAGAGCAAATCCTGAGGTATTTGCCAAGTTGGAAAAGGTACCATAAACTGAAACTCCCAAACCAGCTGAAAGATGTGACTAAGGCATAATAGCTGCCTTCAAATATTTGAGAGGCATGTACAATGTATTCTATCTGGCTCTCAGAGCAGAACTGGGTGAAAATTACAAAATACCAGATTTGAACTCAGTATGAGAAATAACTTTATGGTTATTTGTCCGTAAAGGAAAGGGATTGCTTCCTAAGCATTAATGAGTGTCTTATCACTAGAGACAGAGCAGAAGCTGAATGACGTCTGTCATAGGTGTCACAGAAGAAATTCCAGATTTAAATGAAAAGTTGTACTAGATGTACTGTGTGTAAGGTTGTTTGAGACTTTGTATTCCATTTTGATTTCTACTTACTCCTCAGAGCTTACCTTATGGTTTTGAGAAGACAGTATGATGTAGAACAATTAAACTGGCAGTCAGATCTGGGCCCCTTGTCAGCTAACAGTGATTAGATCTGCAACATTGGGCAAGTTACTTCTGGACCTCAGTTTTCTCACTAGAAATAAAGAAATGGAACTAATTGAATAATAATATCCCTTACATTTCTAATGTAATGTGAAAATTTCAGCCCTACTCACACGTAATGGCTCATATCCGTTTTTAGCCTTAACTAGAGTGGTGCCAGTTAGCTTGTTTTGATATTTGGCTTTTGTGCATACTAACATAGTGCAATTTGGATAATAACACAAATCCTTGGTACATAGCTCCTGCCATATCCTCCAGGTACAAAAAAGAATGGTAGATAAGAACTTTCATGAACTAGTTTATCATCTTCACACTTTTCCAGGTTTCTTTACACAAATTTACCAGTTCTATATCCTACATGAATATATATCATAGATTTTTTTTTCTTTGTGATTTCTATAAATATATAGGTAGTGTTCATTTTAAGAGAACTTCATAAGTGAAAATGAATTTTAAGTAGAGCGAGGTAGCTCAAGCCTGTAATCCCAGCTACTTAAGAGGTTGAGGTGGGAGAACCACTTGAGTCCAAGACTAGAAGGCTGCAGTGAACTGATAGTGCCACTGCACTCCAACCTGACCGATGGAATGAGACCCTGTCTCTGCAAAAATAATTATAAAATGAATTTTAGAAATTGTAGACTGACAGCAATTGTCATGTAAATAGTGGTATTCTTGCATTTAGACATATATGACAAAACTTTTAAGAGTGATTTTTCATAAAGTTATGGAAAGCCACATAAACTCATAGATTATAAAAACTTCAGAGATGATATAGCCTAATCCCTTTATTTTACAGGTGCAGAAACATAAAGAAGGGAAGTGATTTTCTCAAGGTCTACAATTGTCAACGACGGTACTATGTATTCCATTATCTTCTCTTTACCAAACTTATCTGGATTAATATACCAATGAGCCTTTCAAATTATGTGGCGTAAACTTATTTGCTCTCCAATGTTAGTCACAATTTTTTTTTAATGGGTAGAGCCCTCCTTGTCAACTAGTTATTCATTGAATAGTAAATTGGTAGATTGTGCCAATTAATTCTCATGTTAATGATTATTTAAAGAATTTAATACTAATTCATTTTACTAGGCACAGTTACAGTTATTTAGTTATGTTGAAACCTAGTGAGGATGGTAGCCACAGACACATGAATAAACAAGTATTTACTTCAGGAGCTGATTTACTACAAATTGTAACACGCAGAATAAGCAATTACATTGAAAAAAGTATCAATATAGTTATTACGAATTAACTTTTATCTTGTTGCTTTGTTTTAAAATAGGCTATTTATTCAAACATGATAGCATGTTGCATTCTGATAATGTGCACCCCAAACGCCCAGCAACCAGAAATAACAGTTTATGCTTACGATACTTGGAACGAGGCTTTCAGTTTTAACTTGCAGAATGGAAAAGACATTTGTCTATCGTATCTCTAAATGGATTATGCCTCTGACTGAATAGTTGAATGAGTAATGCTAAGGAAGGAAACAAACACCTCTATGCTGGAAATGACCCACTTGACATTAGAGTTGTGTGTTTTTCTTTCTTTCTTTTTTCTAGGGAAAGTACAAAGGTCTTTGCAAATGTCAGTGAACTGAAAGCTGTTAAACTGGCTTTTTCATATGAAGCCAGATGGACATGAAACTATTTTACTCCCTCTATTTCCTTGTGTAGGCCATGTACTAAATTTGCATAATATAATTATGACACTTTTAGAAAAAAGTTTTAATAGTGTGTTTTAAAAAATGACATTGTTATATTAGAAAAATGGGGAAATGCTATTTTTAGATAATTTTTGTTTATCTCCTAATAAAATGCAAGTTTCAGCCACTGTACTACTTGATTAATTCAAAATTTGGACTTCTTTTTCCTCTAAAACAACTACTTAAGGCAGTGTATTGAATTAAAGTAGATTCAGTCTTCTGGTTTTTGAAGAAGAAAAGAAGTAGAGAGGGTAGCAGGTAGGTTTACGAATATAGGTACACTATGTATTGTGAATTCATAGGCTATAAATCAAAACTTATAATTAGCATTCTCATGAATCTTAGATGAAACTTGTGTTTCTATTTGAACACCTAATAACTTTGGTAAAGTCAGAGGCCATCTATATCACTTCACCAAAGTGAGAATTGGCTACTTTTTGAGCTCTTTTAAGTCTAGGGCTCCAAGCCTTCAAGGCCCATCCCTGGGAAATAGAATGGGCAGAAGGGAAGGAGACAAAAGAAAATAGTTTATATATCCCTAAATATATCTGGTGCTGTCAAAAATGATAATTAAACTTGCTAAAGTATTCAGTGTAATCCTAAATGAAAAAGAGAGTATAAATGATTACACCTCTGTAAAATAAAATGTGAGTGTCTATGGAATAAAAGCCAAAGGAAATAAATACAGTGAAACAAATGATTGTGTTGAGGCAATAGGATTATGGGTGAGTTTTTTTCCTTGACCTACTTAAAAAGGTATCTTTTATGTTGGTGTGTTATTTTTTATGATAAAAAAGAAGGGGGGAAACCTACTTCTTCACTGTCTCCTGGTTTTCACTGTCAGAAACTGGCTTCTGGACTTCCAAAATCATAAGACCCCAGAACAGATACAAGAGAAGTAATTCTCAAATGTGTTTTCAGCCTGGTTACCAGAGCAGCAAATAAAAGTAGCTGGAGGAGGAGAGGATTCCTTTATTTGGGTGAACGATATTGAATTTTGTGTTTTGTTTTGGCAGGGAATGTAATGAATAGGATAATAATATCTGAAATCCTCACTGAGTGCCAGGTCTAAAGTACTTTTTAGGCAATGCCTACATAATATATTAACGTTAAAAACTCTATAATGCATTGTTATAGTTACTACTTTACCATCTGTAGTCATTTCCTTAGCCCATTACAGCTTTGTTTTTACTTACTTCCTATGTGCTATTGGCAAAAATATAGAGGGAGTAAAATACATTACATTTCTATATGTTATAGGCCCAACAATCCATTATATACATATTATTTGAAATTGCTTTTTAAAATCAATTAAGGAGGAAAAATATGCATTTATCATTACGTAATTATCAATGTTGTTTGTTCCTGTAGATTCATATTTCTGTAGGGTCACTTGATTTCAGCCTGAAGAACTTCATTTAGTATTGTAAAATGAGTCTGCTAACAAATTCTCTCAGTTTTGCTTATCTGGGAAAGTATTTATTTCATCTTCATTTTTGAAAGATAGCTTTAGTCTATATAAGATTCTTGGTTGCCTACTTTTTTCTTTGAGTATATGGAATATGTTTTCCTATTGCTTTCTGGCTTCCATGGTTTCTGATGAGAAGTAAGGTGTTAATCTTAAATCTTATTGAAGTACCTTTGTAAGTGATGCATTGTTTTTCTCTTGCTGATTAAAACTTCTCCTTTGACTTTCAGCATTTATACTATAAAGTATCTGTTTGTGGGCATCTTTGCTTTTTTTTCCCAAAGCATTCGTTAAGCTTCTTGGATGTATAAGTTATAGCTTTCTAATAAAATTGGAAACTTTTCTGCCATTATTTCTCCAAATATTTTTTTTTCTCTCCTGGTATTCAGCACAAGGGCTACAGGATTACAGCTGCTCTTATGTTAATGGACCTTGGGCTGCTTTGCTTTTTTAGATTCTCACATTTGTTCTCTGCTTTCCTCTGTTGTTCTTTCATACTGTCAGCTGTTGCTACTTGCTACTGTGAGTTTGTTTCTTTTGTTCCAACTTGCTTTTTGTGTATTTCCACTCAGATGATCTAGGAACCTAGATAATTAAACTTATTACATTATGTCTAAATTAAGAGCAAAATAGCTCCACTGAAATCTCTGAAAGGCTATGCTGTGAGCAATAGCCAGATAGTCAAGACTAAAGTTGCCCCTACCCTGAATAAGAAGTAGTTATGCAAGGTGCGGTGGCTCACACCTGTAATCCTAGCACTTTGGGAGGCTGAGGCAGGCGGATTACTTGAGGTCAGGAGTTTGAGACCAGCCTGGCTAACATGGTGAAACCCCATCTCTACTAAAAATACAAAAACTAATCAGGTGTGGTGGCATGGCTCTGTAATCCCAGCTGTTTGGGAGGCTGAGGTATGAGAATCGCTTGAACCCAGGAGGTGTAGATTGCAGTGAGGCAAGATTGCGTCACTGCACTCCAGCTAGGGTGACAGAGCGAGACTCCATATCAAAAAAATAAATAAATAAATGTTAAGTAGTAGTTACTAGCTGCCCAGTTGATTTGGTTCTGTCCAGTGGGTAAGGATACTGGGCTGCTTGCTAGGAGTCTGCTTTTCTTGTGAATGTTACTGCTATTATCTTTTATATTTCTTTTTAAGAAGTCATGAATTTTCAAGAACCAGAGCAATATATCATCCCCAAGTTTTGCCAGTGTTGAGTCAATGGTTTCTAAATGACTCATCAGCAATGTGAAAAACTGAGGGGTAATATATGAAGTGGTAGAATGCATCAGTCAGCCTTGAGCTTAGTGTAGTTTGATAACCATCATTGACTGAGATGATGAATATGGAAGCATTCCCTTTGAAAACAAAGACAAAAAGTTGAGCAGTTGCAAACATTGGGGAAATACAGAGTAGAACTTAGAGTGACTTTGAAAATGAAGGAATGGGTTAATCAACAGAAACAGAATAGGAGGAAACATGCAATAGTTTAGGTCTAATAAATCCTTCCAAACAAATACATAATTAGAAGAAAGGCAAGGTAGATATAAATGTCACCCAAACACCCAGTTAAGGAACATTTCAAGTCATGAGATACTCTGAGCATAACATTAGAAAAATAAATAAATAAAGATTCTGGGTTAATTGTTAATTTGAATATGAATAAATAGTGTGGAACAGTTGTTTGAAATGCTGGAAACAGGCTATATTGGTGGGAGTATGACTAGGGTGTCTTTAGCACTATTTAAGCCCTTATTTTGGTCACATTTGGACTTAGCACTCTTGTGCCTTAGAGAAGCCAGGGTCTGCCCGAGAGAAAAAGGCAAATAATAATAATGATTAAAAGAATATAAAAGAATGTAAGGAAAGCCTAACAACAGCCGTTTGCACTAGTCATTTGGATCTCTCCCAGTGTTTCCCCTCGAAGCCTCACTCCAGTACTTGGAGTGAGACATGAGAGATATTACTGTGTTCTGTCCCTTTTAATCCTCTCAGTTCTAGGTAGTTCTCTCAACAAAGTGCCATGCAGAGTGTTGTAAAGGAAGAAGATCCCCAGAAACAAAGGCCCTTTGCATTATAGATCTGCCTTCCAAGAAGCTATCTGCTCTCTTATCTGTTAGACTGGGCATCTCTGAAGGGCAGAGAATACGTCTTTCATTTTTATCTTTGCACCCTTCCCTTCCTTGGTAACTGAAAGCTTCCCAACAATTGAATTAATATGAAGAAAGAACATGTTCCAAAAAAATAAGACTTTTCCTTTTTGTTGCCTTATTTGAAAGCTTTAAGTCAATAGGATAGCCTCATAATTCAAAGCTGTGACTTTATGTTTTTCTCAAATATCTTTATTACATTAGAGAAGAAACTAGTAAAATTAATAGTACAAGGGGGATATTAAGGGTAGCTTTTGAAATGTTAGACATTAATCCCTGAGCCACAGTTTCATCACCAGTTAAAGGTAGATAATTATCCTTTCTGTTGACCTTAGAGATTTACTATGAAGATTAAATAATAATCCTAAGTGGGAATACTTAGTGCCCTAAAGAAATTTTTTTTTTAAATAAGGAATTGTAGGCCGGGTGCGGTGGCTCAAGCCTGTAATCCCAGCACTTTGGGAGGCCGAGACGGGTAGATCACGAGGTCAGGAGATCGAGACCATCCTGGCGAACACAGTGAAACCCCGTCTCTACTAAAAAATACAAAAAATAGCCGGGCAAAGTGGCGGGCGCCTGTAGTCCCTGCGACTTGGGAGGCTGAGGCAGGAGAATGGCGCAAACCCAGGAGGCGGAGCTTGCAGTGAGCTGAGATCCGGCCACTGCACTCCAGCCTGGGCGACAGCACAAGACTCCGTCTCAAAAAAATAAATTAAAAAAATAAAAATAAGGAATTGTTTATGTTATAGCTGGATCTACACCTAGCAATGAAGTGTCAGGCCATGAATTACTTTTTTTTATTTCCTCTCTTTTTTAGAGACAGGGTCTTGCTATGTTGCCCAGCCTGGAATTGAACTCAAGTGATCTTCCTGCTGCCTTAGCCTCCCAAGTAGCTGGGACTTGTAGATAATTTTTGAGGAGTTTTTATTTTTGATAATGTGCCAATTTACAAGTGAATTAGCAGTGAACACTTGAGTCTGTGGAACTCTGATTAAAGTTGGCCCATTTCTTTCTTTGGCCTGTAGTACCTTAAAGTGATGGTTCTTCAGGAAGCTGGCACAGCTGGTGAACCACAGCAAATGAGAGCAAGTGCACCTTTTGTCCTGTCCAATATCGCTTCATTCTCATGACACTTTGGGTCCAAATGTATTCTATTGTCTCCAAACATGCTGCCTTTGTGTTTTCATTTTGATGTTTAAACTAGAAAGGATGAAGGCAAGACAAACAACAATGGAACAGCTGAAAGGAAAATCCCATAGTTTCAGCAAAGATTTCATCTGTAGTGGCAAATCCTTGGTGCTCAGTTTTCCTTAAAAAAAAAAAAAAAAAAAAAAAACACCTGATTGCATTTTTTAATCACAATGCTCCTCCACTTACATCAGAATTAATTATTCAAATTTAGTTTGTTAGAGGTTTGCTGTTTAACTTTAGGTGAAACCCCGTCTCTACTAAAAATACAGAAAGTTAGCTGGGCATGGTGGCATGCACCTGTAGTCCCAGCTACTCAGGAGACTGAGGTACAAGAATTGCTTGAACCTGGGAGGCGGAGGTTGCAGTGAGCCGAGATTGGGCCACTGCACTCCAGCCTTGGCATCAGCGTGCGACTCCATCTCAAAAAAAAATAAGAAACTTAATAAATTACTAGCACATGGCTGGGCACAGTGGCTCACGCCTGTAGTCCCAGCTCTTTGGGAGGTTGAGATGGGCAGATTACCTGAGGTCGGGAGTTCAAGACTAGCCTGACCAACATGGAGAAACTCCATCTCTACCAAAAATACAAAATTAGCCGGGCCTAGTGGTGCATGCCTGTAATCCCAGCTACTTGGGAGGCTGAGGCAGGAGAATCACTTGAACCCGGGAGGCGGAGGTTGCAGTAAGCCGAGATCGTGCCATTGCACTCCAGCCTCGGCAACAAGAGCAAAACTCCTTCTCAAAAAAAATAAAAATAAAAATAAATAAATAAATAACTAGCACATTAATAAGATTTAATGTCTTTTAAAGAAGATTTTTAAATGTAAAACTTTTAATTTCTTTTTTTTTTTTTTAAGACGGACTTTCGCTCTTGTTGCCCAGGCTGTAGTGCAATGGCATGATCTCGGCTCACCGCAACCTCTGCCTCCTGGGTTCAAGTGATTCTCCTGCCTCAGCCTCCCAAGTAGCTGGGACTACAGGCCTGTGCCACCATGCCTGGCTAATTTTTGTATTTTTCGTAGAGATGGGGTTTCACCATGCTGGCCAGGCTGATCTCAAACTCCTGACCTCATGAGCTACCACGCCCGGCCTTCTTAATATTTTATTTATCTTTATGATAACAGAAATATGATGTACAGAAAACTCTATACCTTGACTAAGTTCTTATAATCTGTGTCATTCGTTTTCTCATTCAAATGTAGTGGCAGTAGAGTCACTCCTTTGCATTAACCAGGAATCAATGGATTTAGATAGGAGGGTTTTTTAAAACAATCCAATCCATTTGGGATAATCCCTTTAAAGTGGTTGTCCAGAGTTGCCATTCATTTAGCTGCCCTGAAAAACAAGCTAATAAACAGAAAATCTCCTACTTATGACTTTCCTGGAGCTTTTCCATTACTTTTCAGTGGTGGCTGCGTTGAAGTAAGTTCATCTCACCAGACCTTGGAGAAGGGGAAGGAAAAACACTTTGATTTAAACTACTTTATGAAGAAAATATTTCTTCTACTGTATAATGTAATGTAAAATATTTATAAGTGAACAATTGAATAGCTATTGACTTATTGATTTGAATTGATTTGACTTAATCCATACATTGTTTATGTTTTCTGATTCCAGCAGTTAATTAGTCTTTTTTAAATTTTAGGTTATAAAGTGCTATACTAACTTGTATAGTTCTGAAAAAGAGTTTTAAATTGGGGTTTTAAAATGCTCTTTATCAGGCCAGGTGCAGTGGCTCATACCTGTAATTCCAGCACTTTGGGAGGCCGAGGCAGGTGGGTCACGAGGTCAGGAGTTTGAGATCAGCCTGACCAGCATGGGGAAACCCCGTCTCTACTAAAAATACAAAAATTAGCCGGGTGTGATGGCACACACCTGTAGTCCCAGCTACTCAGGAGGCTGAGGCATGAGAATCACTTGAACCTGAGAGGCGGAGGTTGCAATGAGCCAAGATTGCGCCACTGCACTCCAGCCTGGGCGACAGAACAAGCCTCTGTCTCAAAAAAAAAAAAA